GGATTCGGGCGATCCGGTAGCGGGCTCCCACTTTGCCCTAGCTGTTGAGTTTTTGACCCTATAGCGTTTTTATATTACCGTTGGGAGCCGCTTTGTTTCCCTAGAGGGAGAACTCAGAATCCATTTTTATAGTGAGCTGTGCCTTTAAAAGTAGTGCTAGTTGAGGTTGTACGAGATCACCATGACGGAAACGGCATTTAATGGGTGTTCGGACGAGATTTCACTTGCGCCAAGTGCGAAGAGCTGACTTCATCAAACCTATATTACCTTTCAGTGTCGCCTGGATTATGACAAGTTGTTTGAACTTTTTACATGTGAGTCCTTTGAGACAGTGCAGCTTCTACAACGCCGTTGAACTCGTCCACTATGGGTGTGGTATTCACACGATACAACCTCTGGCCCCTTATTGTGCCTTACCCAAAACGTTTTTCTACCTCATAACGGCAAGTATAGTACAAAAGGGAGCCTCGATATCATTCTATGGGAAATCTTAGAGACTATTTCTATCGTGAACTGCGCCTTTAAGGCAATAGCCCTCTCCAAGATGCAGTCGCTGGATATCTCGACTGAGGGAATGGATACCGTCACCTCAGCATGCGGCTCAATTCTAGGAATTGTAATGAACTACCAGAAAGTAAATTTTTAAGGTGTAATAAGTTGAGTCTAATCTCTCTCTATGATGTCATAATCCCACTGAGGGTGAGAGATTTATCTGTAGTTCTTTCAGGTCATGTAGTCTTCTGTTCCACAGGACAAGTACTTTGTAAGTGTACTACAACCAGCAATAGAAACAATGTCCTTTTTTGTATACCCCTTTATTCGAACATCTCTGTGTTTACTATTTTACCACTTCATCTTGAATATTGCCAGACGTCTGCAAAAACAATGAGAAATCTCAGCCTCAGCCCGCTACTCACCCACTAGTCACTTCCTCGGATGTCATTAGAATCTTCCAGTTCGACGAACTCTGAACAATTCGAGATGTTGACAAATTAGTGAGTTATAAGCCGAAATGAACAACAAGATGTTATCATATGACTCCGCCTTGTTGGTCTTAGAGCTACTCCATATCCCGACCGTAACACCCTGAGAGGTTACGGTAGCTGGGACTAAACGGAACGAAAGATTTGCTTCGGTCTGGCATATGAGAGCAGCTGACATGATCACTAATAGTATTTGTCTTTACGTCGATGTCTTCCTGCTGATCGTTTGTATTCTTCAAATTCTTGCAAATTTTGTTGTGCTACTTGCTTGGTGCACATCAAAACGGCTGATTCGCAATGACAACTTGATTCTACTAATCTCACTAGCATTCATCGACTTTGTCTACGCCGTTCTACAGTTTCCTTATCTGATCATTCTGATTGCTGGAACAAAACCCGATGGTGAGTCATTTTAGAAGCCATCCTCGTCTTGTGGTGGATCTCAAACATGGTATAGGTGCCACAAAGCATAAAAGGATAAAGTCCTGGGGCGTTAATGAATCCCGTCTGAGAGGTGCGCCCACCCATTCGACTTCCATCCAGAATCGTGGTAGGGTATTAAAAGCGTATGTGGCCTATACAATGACTAGCGGTGGCCGACCAATGTACAATTCAGTGCTTTTATCCTCCCAGACTAGCCTGGCTCCAATTAGACGGCTCCTAAAGGCAGGAGACAGCTCGGCTATGGCGGTTGCCGATCCGGGATTCGAACCTGTGACCCTACGTGTGTGATAGACTGGCACTTGCCACTGCACCAATTCCTCTCAACAAGCAAAGTCACTAATATCAAGATTTATATACAATAGTATTAAGAGTAAACACATTTACAGATATTCCACTGGACTACGATCCATGGGTGATAGTTCCACTTGCGGGACCATCGGCAGCTTTGATGAAATCAGGATGTACGGTTACGACGGCAATCGCTGTCGATCGAATAATAGCGTTGTGCTTCCCGATGCAGTATTACAAACGTTCAAAGCGAATGTATGTTCATTCTTTCACTTTAGATGCTGTGCCAAAGATATACCGTGTTCCAGTGCTTGAGCAAGTAGCTTGAAGATCAACAAATAATTCCTAGAAACTTAAAAGATCTTTATGCAACCGCATAGGAGCAAATAGATCTCGAGAAAGGAAATATTTGATGAGT